TGTTATGGAAGAAATGCCTACGGGTGGTATGCCTACAGATTTTCCTCCTCTAAAAACTATGTTCGTGTTATGGTCGGGTGCGTGTTATAGAGCGAAAAATACGGTATTATCCTTCCTTCACCCACATGAGTGAGTGATGTAGCAGGGCAGAGTCCCCTCAATATAGCAGGAAGCTAGTTTGCAGATTCGTTTGACTCTCTTTAGTTAAGTAATCCAGCCTGGCTTGCCCAGATGATGATGATGATGATAATAATTTTTATTTATACCCCGCCCTCCCCAGCCAAGGCCGGGCTCAGGGCGGCTAACAAGCAATAATAAAAATAAGTTGAATGAATACAACTTAAAAACAAATTAAAATACAACATTAAAATATTGAAACATTGAAATATTAAAATGTAGCCTCATCGCAGGAGAAAGGAAAAGAAAAAGAAAGAGGGGGAGGGAATCAAATTGGCTCCAAGCCAAAGGCCAGGCGGAACAACTCTGTCTTACAGGCCCTGCGGAAAGAAATCAGATCCTGCAGGGCCTTGGTTTCACGAGACAGAGCGTTCCACCAGGCCGGAGCCAGTGCTGAGAAGGCCCTGGCTCTGGCTGAGGCTAATCTAACTTCCTTAGGGCCCGGGACCTCTAGAGTATTGCTATTTGTGGACCTTGAGGCTCTCCGTGGGGCATACCGGGAGAGGCGGTCCCGTAGGTATGAGGGTCCTAGGTCCAGATGAGTTATTCCTGGTGTCCCCCTTGATCCCTCTTAAAAAAATAAAGACACAAGTAACAAGTAACAAGAAGTCCTTAAAAAGTAACAAGAAGTTTACCCACATTTCCATTTTTTGAATAAATATTAATAATAATAATAAATGAGCTATCAATGTCATGGTTTTTGCCAAAATATGATGTCATCCAATTCACTCGGAAATGGTGCCAATCACCTGCAAATTGCCCCCTGCAACGTTTGGAGGTGCAAACGCCGTGTTTCCAGGTAGGCAAAAAAATAAGCCCTCGGTGCCCTTACAACTTCTCACTCCATTTTCACAGTCTTGGAGAATCCTGGCAATCCTATAGTGCAGGGATGTCCAAGCGGTTGATTGGGATTGACAGATCAATCCCCGGGTGACAGCAGTCGATCGCTGGCTATAGAAGGAATTTACCCGCTCCCGCCCCCTAGTGGTGTTTTTCATTTTTGCATGATCGCTCAAACAGAAGATGGAGCTTTAGCTGCCTTTTTTGTGTTCTGCTGAGTGGTTCGCCCTACGGTCAACAACTTTGACTTGCTCTCCTAAAAAAAGTCAACAACATAATGCCACTGTAATGGAATGGAAGAGTAAAGATTTAACATATGCAAAGGTGAAGAATGAATGACAGTCTGCTAGACAATACAGAGATATTTGAAAGAACTAAGAAACATCTAAATTCATATTTTGAACTAAACTTAAATAAAGGTACTGACATCAATGTGGCATGGGACGCAAGCAAGACCGTTATGCGAAGATTATTCCTGCAACAGAACTGTATTAAGAAAGATTAAGAAAAGTGATGGATAAGAAGAAGCAAAATGTATAAGGAAACTAATATAACAGTAGTGGTAAATGAATACAGACAAACAAGAATTGTATAAGCAAGAGGACTTATTTGGTTATGGATACACTATGGACAAATATGGAAAATGAATAACAATATATAAAATTATTTGAAAAAGGAAAAAAAAGGTCAACAACTTTGACCTGCCCCCCCCTAAATAAGGTCAACAACTTTGACTCCCCCCCCCCCAAAAAAATGGTAGCTCACTGGCAGTATTTTTTTCTATAAGTAGATCGCAGTCCCTTGGGAGTTGGACATCCCTGTTTGTGTTCAGGGTGAGAGAACAACAACACACAGCCAATCTCAGCAGAGCCGCCTCCTTGCAGGAGTAAGGAAGCCAAGGAGAACCAGATGCCCTACAAGAGCATCTTGAATGAGATGGCTTTCAAAGAGGGTGGGACAATTGCATGGAGGAGAGGCCTATCCAAGGCAGCTGTCCATGATCACTACGCTCAGCCTCCACAGTTTGAGGGAGCAATGCTTCTGAAAAGCACTTCCTGGAAGTGTTGCAGGAATTTATGTATAGGTTGGGGGGGTTGCCCCTCCAGCAGATATCATGCACATGCAGCCCACTACCAAAATCAGCACAATCACTTTTGTGATTTGCCCCCACAAAACACTTCATTTTTTTTAATATAAATATTTATTAAAAGTTTAACAATTACAGAAAAGGAGGGGGGGAAAGAAAACAGTAAAAAATTACAATACATTACATCAAAAGAAAATAAAAACCAGATTAGAAAGGAAACAATGCAATACAACAATAAAAACAAAAACAAAACAAAAAATTTAAAAACAAAATACATTTAAAAACACACCCAATATTCCTTATCTTTACCTTTCATTTACCTGTTTCATCGACCTCCTCACACCTCCCTTTTTGTATTCTAGTTCAGTTAACTATTTCAGCAAATTCTTTCCATCTTTCTCAATTTTTGTTCTGTAATTTATCTTAATGGTCTAACCTTTAATTTTTCCATTTTTACCCATTATCAATCAACTTTTACTTAAATCTTTAATTACATTTCTGTTAAAACCATATAGCTTCATTCCAACATCCTTCTAACATTCATTAATTTTGCAATGTTTTTGTAAATATACTTTAAATTTTTTCCAATCTTCTTCCACCAACTCTTCTCCCTCGTCTCAGATTCTGCCAGTCATTTCCGCCAGTTCCATGTAGTCCATCAGCTTCATCTGCCATTCTTCCCTGGTAGGTAGATCTTGTGTCTTCCAGTGCTTTGCAATGAGTATTCTTGCTGCTGTTGTGGCATACATAAAAAAAGTTCTATCCTTCTTTGACACCAATTGGCCGACCATGCCCAGGAGAAAGGCCTCTGGTTTCTTCAGGAAGGTATATTTAAATACCTTTTTCATTTCATTATAGATCATCTCCCAGAATGCCTTAATCCTTGGGCATGTCCACCAAAGGTGAAAGAATGTACCTTCAGTTTCATTACATTTCCAACATTTGTTATCGGGCAAATGATAAATTTTTGCAAGCTTGACTGGTGTTATGTACCACCTATAAATCATTTTCATTAAATTCTCTTTTAAGGCATTACATGCCATAAACTTCATACCAGTGGTCCATAACTGTTCCCAGTCAGCCATCATGATATTATGTCCAACATCTTGTGCCCATTTAATCATAGCAGATTTCACCATTTCATCTTGTGTATTCCATTTCAACAGCAAGTTATACATTCTTGACAAATTCTTAACTTTAGGGTCTAACAGTTCTGTTTCCAGTTTTGATTTTTCCACCTGGAAGCCTAATTTTTTATCCAAATTATATGCCTCCATTATTTGATAATAGTGGAGCCAATCTCGTACTCTATTTTTTAGTTTTTCAAAACTCTGCAATTTTAATCTGTCTCCCTCTTGTTCCAGGATTTCCCAATACTTCGGCCATTTGGCCTCCATATTAAGTTTTTTCTGTGCCTTTGCTTCCATTGGTGACAACCATCTTGGGGTTTTATTTTCTAACAAATCCTTGTATCTTATCCAGACATTGCCCCCACAAAACACTTCATCACAGTTTCTTCCTATCTATTCAAAGGGCCTTTGTTGCACAATACCAAATGTAACAATTCACTGGCTCACAGGGAAAACTTCAGAAATTCATATAGACATGTGAGCTCAGCTACTCAGCAGCCCCTCTGCCTGAGTGATAATTCCTGGCATCCTGATACCTGAGTGCCAGACAGGTAGTCATTCCAGAAATAACAAACCCAGATGAAGACAAAAGGGTGTGATTAACTTGGCTGGGAAACAGGGAAATGTAAATATCTCTTTTGTTACACTTGATGGGTGTTTGGTGGAGGGCAAGGAGAACAATGGGGCAGGGTCCAGGATGCTCAGATTACTGCCACCAGACCTCCCCTTTCATGATGTAACCATGATGTATTAGTGATGTAGTTTGGGGGGGTATAACATAGGGGACGCGGGTGGCGCTGTGGGTAAAACCTCAGTGCCTAGGACTTGCCGATCGTATGGTCGGCGGTTTGAATCCCCGCGGTGGGGTGAGCTCCCGTCGTTCGGTCCCAGCTCCTGCCCACCTAGCAGTTCGAAAGCACCCCTAAGTGCAAGTAGATAAATAGGTACCGCTTTATAGCGGGAAGGTAAATGGCGTTTCCGTGCGCTGTGCTGGTGCTGGCTCGTCAGAGCAGCTTCGTCACGCTGGCCACGTGACCCGGAAGTGTCTTCGGACAGCGCTGGCTCCTGGGCTCTTAAGCGAGATGAGCACGCAACCCCAGCGTCGGTCACGAATGGCCTGTACGGGCAGGGGTACCTTTACCTTTTAACATGGGGATTAGCAGCTAATAAAAGTTTGGGGGCTCTTTTGTTCGGGGCTTCCATCTTGTTCCACCTTGTGGCAGGTGTGAGTCCTGTTGTGACAGTCTTCAATAAAGACCAAGCCCACTGGCTGCTGTTTTGCTCTGGTATTCCTGGCTGGTGTCCTTGGTTTTTTTTGTCCAAGGGAGCCCTCAGATTTCTCCATTAACAGTAGCCACAGGTGGGGAGAGTGTTCCTACAACTCCCCAAGCGTGTTTCACAAGGACCCCTTCCTTCCCTCTGCCCCAGTACCTGAGGCTTGTCACGTCTCTCCAGGGATTTGGCCAGAGGAAGTTAAACACTGGGGAAAGGCTCCATCCTTGCAAAGAAAACAGAGACATCAGCAGGCGCCTGGCCCCCAGCCATGCTAGCACTAGTGGCACATGAGGGTGGGGGACATGGAAAGGAAGCATTCCTATAATATAGTGCACTCAATTGGCATTTCTTCCTACCTGATCTTAGAAGGTTTCCCCACTTTGCTTCTGTACAGGCATCTCAGCTCCGTCCCAGCCAGCTTAGCTCAGAAGCAGCAGCCAAAGTCTCCTCTTTCTCTGAGCTGCTCTCTTAATTAGAAGAAACTTTGGCTGCTACTTCTGCATCAAAGATGTGGGGAAGAGGCGCAAGGGGTGGCAGCCGGGAACCACTGGGATGTTCTCTGGTCCTTCATCCTGGGAGCTGAAGCCATGGCCCTGTGAAGGAAGCAGGATATAGTACGGGCTCTCATGTGAATGGGCTCTAACTGTCCACGGGTTCCCCACTTATCGCGTTGCCACACCATGCTGCTGTGCAAACTCACAGGGCATAAAATCGCTGACGGCACCTGAGTTTTGTAATGCTCACAGTTGTACTCTGCGTCCATCTGGGAACTATAGCGTCGCACACAAACTGAGCCTGGGAAGGTGGTGGTGGAGGCCCTGTGTTGCTACAGCGGTTACAGAACTTTCCTGCATGAGAGCAGAAAGGAGATGCTCTCGTCTGGAAGTGGGTGGGCCAAGCTTTCTTTGGGAGCAATGTCAGGGCAGGGGCATTGGGCATCCATTCCCCAAGTCTGCCAGGAGGATACCAGGTCCTTCTTCCTCCACAGGGCCATGCTTCAAAAGAATGTTCTCCATCGCCACTTCCCAAGCTGATGGACAAGAGCGAAACTCCATCATCTGTGGCATTCCAGTCCAGCCTTTGTGGATTGTAAAGTCCTTCCAAGTCTTTGAAGGAATCCATGCTACTCAGTGCCTTGCATGTCTTCTGGGATGTCCTGGTTGCTGTCTGAATGTGCCTGACTAGGAGAACGGCATGACTGGCACATGTCAAAACTAAATAAATAAATCGGAGCAACTGGTTGCTTTCAATATGCCGGCGATCAAATAATATTTCATGATAAACATTGTTAAAAAGGAAAAATAACAAGCAGATTTCTTTCCTTCTCTGCCTTTTCTGGCTGCTGCTTTGAGCTCTGCTTAAGAAGGCTGGAGCCAGCTGGTTCTCATCAGTGCCTTCTCCACGGAGTCCTTGGAGCTGCAGGTGAAGTCACTACACCTTCTCCCTGTTCAGGTTGCTGTTCAGCAGGTGAAGCTGATTCATGCCCCATGATGCTATTCCGTGCCCCAAGACGCCCCTCCACCTGCCAGATGGGTGCTGGCTTCCGGGAAGCAAGACGGTGGAAGTGTTGGACCAAGGAGGGGGAGGGGGAGCATGCGCATGTGAGGCATATTCCCAAGAGCATTCCATGAAGTCCATGTCCATGAAATTTGCTGTAGACCCCAAATCTATCATCTTCTTCTTTGGTGATCACTTGTAGCTGAGTAAGAGTATCTTCCATGAACATGGTCTTAACAGTGAGCCCATAAGTGACTGTTGAGGCCAATACTGGATCCACTCGTCCTTCCACAGTGGGGGCATAAGTTTCCAGGCAGGAGTTGATCACAGTGAGGGTTTGCCAAGCATGCCTTCCTCTTAGCTTGTTTCTCCCTTTCATCCCGAGTTCGAGCGTCTTCAAAGTCCATGACACCTTTGGTAAAGGCTCTTCCCCAATTGGAGCACTCGCAGGCCAGTGTTTCCCAATTGTTGGAGTTTATACTACATTTTTAAAGATTTGCCTTGAGCAGGGGTCAGCAAACTTTTTCAGGAGGTCCACTGTCCCTCAGACCTTGGGGGAGGCTGGACCCAACCTCTCCCGAAAGCACCCTCCCCTCCCAAAAGGACTCCCCAGCGCCACCACTGACGACGCAGCTGCCGACACCACCTCATCTTCAGCAGCGTCGTCATCGTCCTCTGCCTTGGCCAGGGGTCTACGGGGCGCAGAGCCCATGCCTCTGGCCAGGGCAGTGACGGCAGCTTCCCTGCCACTGCCACTTCCTCCTGCTCGGCTCTTGGCCGTGTGCGGCCGCCTCAGCGGGAAGGAAGACGCATCACCCAGAGGCGTCTGCAGCTTCGGATTCGTCGCAAGAACTTCCTGTGGCCAATCCAAAGCTGCGCCAGCATTGCCGCCTGCCCAGAGGCCAGTGTACAATTTTGAAATAAGCAGGGAGATAATACGTATACAGCCTTGTCGTACTCCTTTCCCAATTTTGAACCAATCAGTTGTTCCATATCCAGTTCTAACTGTAGCTTCTTGTCCCACATAGAGATTTCTCAGGAGACAGATGAGGTGATCAGGCACTCCCATTTCTTTAAGAACTTGCCATAGTTTGCTGTGGTCGACACAGTCAAAGGCTTTTGCATAGTCAATGAAGCAGAAGTAGATGTCTTTCTGGAACTGTCTAGCTTTCTCCATAATCCAGCGCATGTTTGGTCTCTGGTTCCTCTGCCTCTTCTAAATCCAGCTTGCACTTCTGGGAGTTCTCGGTCCACATACTGCTTGAGCCTTCCTTGTAGAATTTTAAGCATAACCTTGCTAGCGTGTGAAATGAGTGCAATTGTGCGGTAGTTGGAGCATTCTTTGGCACTGCCCTTCTTTGGGATTGGGATGTAGACTGATCTTCTCCAATCCTCTGGCCACTGCTGAGTTTTCCAAACTTGCTGGCATATTGAGTGTAGCACCTTAACAGCATCATCTTTTAAAATTTTAAATAGTTCAGCTGGAATACCATCACTTCCACTGGCCTTGTTATTAGCAGTGCTTTCTAAGGCCCATTTGACTTCACTCTCCAGGATGTCTGGCTCAAGGTCAGCAACCACACTACCTGGGGTGTACGAGCCACCCATATCTTTCTGGTATAATTCCTCTGTGTATTCTTGCCACCTCTTCTTGATGTCTTCTGCTTCTGTTAGGTCCTTACCACTTTTGTCCTTTATTATGGTAATCTTTGTACGAAATCTTCCTTTCATATCTCCAATTTTCTTGAACAGATCTCTGGTTCTTCCCATTCTGTTGTTTTCCTCTATTTCTTTCCATTGCTCATTGAAGAAGGCCTTCTTGTCTCTTCTTGCTATTTTTTTGAAATCTGCATTCAATTTCCTGTATCTTTCACTATCTCCCTCGCATTTTGCTTGCCTTCTCTCCCCTGCTATTTGTAAGGCCTCGTTGGACAGCCACTTTGCTTTCTTGTGGCAATTCTGTTTCCTGGGCAGCTGGCAGAGCTCCTCTTCACTGGGCATGGGACTGCCACATGCCCTGGCCACCACAGGAGACTCACAGTCCCTCTCTGTGTCTCCGTTCCTTTTCAGCCACCGTCAAACAAGGGCGATGATGACTGTCCTACTGATCCTATGCTGAATAGCTGCCCAGCCCAGCTTCAGGTCCCCCACCAAGTGCCCCCTCTCCAGAACCCACCGCTCTCAACCGACTCTCAACTGCCTCCCCTCTAGCATTCAAACTCCCTTTCCAAGCCTCCTCCAACCTTCTCTCACCACTCTCTTTCACCCTCCCTCCCTGCATGGCATTCTCATAGAATTACCTTAATTACCCTATTACACACACTACTACTGTTATAGATTTAGGGGGGGATCCCACTAAGAAACAATTCAAGGTCCCTGAGAGACTAAACGGAAATGCAAGAGAACTCCTTCTCCTATACCTAGAGGTGTGAACAGAGATGGGTGATTTGCAAGGGGGGGGCAAGATAACTGGGTGTGAGGTGACAGGAAAAGAGAAGCTTTGAGTAAGGGGTGCTGGGGAAGAGGAGGAAGAGGAGAGTCTGGAATCCAGCTTGGGAAAGCTGGCTGCCCTGCTGTAGGCTTGCAAGTCCCTCTTGCAATGTCCCTCTTGCAATGATTCTGCTGTAAGATCTGGACTCCCTCCATGCAAACTGAAGGTGTAAACATGTGAATAAACCGTGTTTCTTAAAGCTACGACAGTCTCTGCCATGTCTCAGTTCTCTAAAGGTGAGAGCCTGAAACCCCATGGGCTCTTGCCACCGCCCGGTAGAGAAAGGAGAGGCACCCAACTTTTGGAACAATATTTTATACACCCTGCTGCCTGAAATCATCCTGTTAGAAGTACTTGAGCTTTGCATTTCTGGTTCCTAGGAAATCAGGGAAAGCAAGCTGCAGGTTTCTCATCCCTGTTCTAAAAAGCAGGTGTCTTCCCTCAAACGATCCTGGGAATTGTGGTTTGTTAGGAGTTCTGGGAATTGTAGGTTTGTGTGAGGGAAGCACTTTAAATCATAGGATGATAGAATTGCACAGTTGGGAGGGACCCCAAGGCAGTGGTGAAGGAAACCTCTAGGGCACCTGGGGCGGTGTGCGCAGGGGCGGGGCGAACTGACCATATGGGCATGGCACGATGTGCCGCACGGCACGATGCCCATAGAGACTAGGGGTGGGGTGTGCCAGGGCGCGCCACACCAATAGGGACGGGCAGAGGCGGAGCTAGCGGCAGCGCACGTCCCGGGAAGGCACCACCCGCGGCGATGTCACTTTCCCTCAGGGATGACACCTGGGGCGGACTGCCCTCACCACCCCCACCTTGCTCTGCTTCTGCAGCCAAGGGTCATCTAGTCCAACCCCCTGCAATGCAGGAATCTCAGCTAAAGCATCCATGGCAGATGGCCTTCCCACTTCTGCTGAAAATCCTCCAAGGAAGGAGAGTCTACCTCTTTCCGAGGGATTTCTTCCAACTGTCAAACAGATCTTACTGTCAGAAAGTTCTTCCTGAAGTTGAGTTGAAATCTCCTTTCTTGTATCTTGAAGCCGTGGCTTCCGGTCCCAGCCTCTGGAGCTGGAGAAAACAAGCTTCCTCCCTCCTTCCCTGTGATGGCCCTTGAAATATTTACAGGGCTGCATGGTGTGGCTCTAATATCCATGTTCTGAGAGAGACAGCAAAACGTTTCTCTGTCCCCTTTCTTCACCGCATTCAGAACTGCAAGGGGTTGGTGCATCTGGTTCATGGGTAGGCAAACTAAGCCCCAGGGGCCAAATGCGGCCCAATCGCCTTCTCAATCCGGCCCGCGGACGGTCCGGGAATCATCGTGTTTTTACATGAGTAGAATGTGTCCTTTTATTTAAAATGCATCTCTGGGTTATTTGTGGGGCATAGGAATTGGTTCGGGTTGGGTTTTTTTCAAAATATAGTCCGGCCCCCCACAAGGTCTGAAGGAGTGTGGACCAGCCCATGGCTGAAAAAGTTTGCTGACCCCCTGATCTGGTTGGTAAAAAGATGGTCAGAGTTTGGAGCCCAGCCAGGGCTGGCTGTGGGCAAGATCCTGGCATTGCCAGGGGTTGGACTACACGACCCTTGGGATCCCTTCCAACTCTACCATGCTATGATTCTATCAAGGAAAGGACTGGGGAGCAAGATGCCGAACAAGGAGAGGCACAACCACACACCCCAACACGACACTCTGGCCTGACCCACGGTGGCCTCATCCCAGCACACTTGGACTCCCCCTGATTTTATTTTTCTTAATTCAGCTGCCTGACAAC